CAAAGCAAGGGAGCAAACAGGCTCCAACGTGCGACAGTCACACGTGCAAAGTCAGATACAAATGGTCGGATGACCTCAAGGCCAAATGGGTGAAGTGGTAAGGACAAACAAGCGTCAGTTCATATATACACACTAAACACAAATGGGGACAGAATAAACGTGGGGAATTTCATTTTCAACATAAGATACAATACACCTGTGGTCAAGTTTCAGATGATGAACATGAAGGTAGACCGAAAACCTCTTAGAGGTTAACGATGCTGTCTTGAAGCTGAGAGGTTTTCATTTTCAACATAACGGATGATACACCTGTGGTCAAGTTTCAGATGATGAACATGAAGGTAGACCGAAAACCTCTTAGAGGTTAACGATGCTGTCTTGAAGATCAGCTGAGAGGTTGTTTCAATGCAGCTACATTGATTGTTGGAAATCTTAATATATAAGGGAGACCGGGGGCCGAAGCTCTTCATTGACAACCAGGCGGCAACCTCCATCTTCAATCAGTCCGTACTAATGTGAAACGATCTTCTAACCACCAAGTTAATAGACGCAGAGCGGAAAATGGAAATACATTTTCGACTTGTGAACTCCCATTGGCACGCACACTGTACAGTTTGGTCTTTTATCTTACAACCAGTCTTCAGTCACCACCCCTTTGAGAATCTGGTGCTTACTGTCCTCTTCACTGCTTTTCCGGGACAAATTCACCTTTTATTTGAGTGATTGGCCCAATCGATAACATTCCGAAAAATTAACGGACAAAACCACTAAAATTTTAGTCACACCTCAACTAATTGACACTGGGCACCAGATCTTTCAGCCGGATTAGCCATCATCTAGTCGACTGGAGGCCGTTGGTCATGACTGCGAACCCATCCCCTAGTGAATGGAAACGACGAGTAAAAATCCTGTTATGGTGAAGTCTTCCACTGCGGACGATCCTTGTTATGTTCCTAGTCGTTCCCGCAAATAAGCATAGATCGATCACTTCTCGCATCTCGTTGCTCTCTTTTCCCCACTTGTCCCTTTTTGCGTATATGAACACCAGATCGGCAGTTGAGCCATTGATAAAGTCACAAATGTTTCACATCCGGGTGTGCGTGAAGGAAATAACAGGACGTTCTTGGCATGATGTACTTGTAGAGTTGAACACTGCCGCATTGACCTCCAGAATGTTGAGTCGAATCTACCGGCTAAACTACGTATGTACCCGCAACGTGCCGGGTCGGGAAGTTGAGTGACGCGCGTCCCCAACCATCCTGACACAACAGGACACGTGAGCTCATCCGTTCAATGCGGTCCTCACTAAATATAGGACACTATCCATACAGTCAACAAAGCTGAACTTTTCAGACAACTGAGCACCAAACAAAAAGGATGTAGAAAAGGTCACCCCCACAGATCACAGAACGAATGACAAACAACAATCGTCCCACTGTGATAGGCGGGATACAAACCGGGGCATGAGACGGGTAGGACACAGGCCATAGTTGTCATGCTGTCAGGTGGGCCAGCCGGACGGGAACGGATACACAGACGGAAAAGTATGAACACGTGATAACCCAGGCGTCAAGACTAAGGAAGGGTGAAAGTTCATGAATGAGCATGTTGTGGCGAGTTAGTGCAGAATTGGAGTGGACGAATGAGGTTGGCTGAGTTGCCAAAGTGGCTGAGGGATCATCAACCAACGCCGATATGGTATCGTCAGGTTCTAATCAAACGGACACATCCTATATCGCATCATAAACTCCATGTGAATGCATACTATACAAATTCATCCTTCACTCGTCATTCGTTGGTCTCCTGAGGTCGATGTGGTTCGGTGAAAGACGGGTAGGACACGGGCCATAGTTGTCATGCTGTCAGGTGGGCCAGCCGGACGGGAGCGGATACACAGACGGAAATGTATGAACACGTGATAACCCAGGCGTCAAGACTAAGGAAGGGCGAAAGTTCATGAACAAGCATGTTGTGGCGAGTTAGTGCAGAATTGGAGTGGACGAATGAGGTTGGCTGAGTTGCCAAAGTGGCTGAGGGATCATCAACCAACGCCGATATGGTATCGTCAGGTTCTAATCAAACGGACACATCCTATATCGCATCATAAACTCCATGTGAATGCATACTATACAAATTCATCCTTCACTCGTCATTCGTTGGTCTCCTGAGGTCGATGTGGTTCGGTGAATGAGGCACGAACTTACTGACGGGAAAGTTCTTGGTTCGAGTCCAACCCCGGCTTCCCAACTCCCCCTGTCTAGGCTCAAGCAACTTGGTCGTATCACGGCCCTCGTGCTTCCTTCGCGTTTCTTGGAAGTTAGGCACGGAAGGGGTGATAGAGCTGAACGGTATGACTATATTTAACGCCTGTTTATCACCATCCAGCACACAAAGTGATGCCGATCATTTTCCTCAGACCCGTGTAGTCATGTGCTCTTCGGATTGGTCAATACCTGGCTTAATAGATTGTCGATTCCGCATTTAAAATACCCCTGGCTAAAGGGTGATTATTCAAGCGCTTACTGACTACATCAACTTGGTAGGGTGTATTTGTGAGAGAAGTTGAGCGTTAATACTTTCATAAAGGAAACTACTCACAAGGTCGCTGAAAATTCTTCGATAGCCCACGACCAGTCTTGCCCTTCTTGGGGCTCATCAGGTAGGCGCAGTCCCCGAGTTTCCGTCAACTTGTATGCAGCACATTTAATTGTATAAATCATAAGCGAGAGATTCAGTTGAGTCTCTCGTGAAAACTAAGTTGATTTGCAAATGAGTGTGTTTCTCGTGAACGTTCATATATTAGAATCTCATTCAACGGAGGCTGTTCCACACATATTTCAGCAGATCGTTAAGCCTATGGGTGGAGGCAACTCTAACCAAATGTGACTTGCGCTTCTGAATCTCTTTTTGTTTTTCACAGGAGGCATCAAAAGTACGTGGATTATGGATGAAATGACTACTACCTATTAGACCAGTGATACCATGGTTGTTTTTTTCGCAGCATTTGATCAGTCGGGCTTTCCGCTACATAGCACTTACCCTACAACACACTGGCGCTAAGACAGAAGAGAAACTGTTTGCAAAAGGGATATGGAATAAAGCCGAATACGGCAACTTTTAAATAATTTATTGTCGATGAAATCAGCAGTTATCAGATGTGCAATCGATCAATCAGGTAAATTTACTGGAAAAACTGCCCACAACACTGACAAGTGAACCCTGTTTGCGTTCCCAGACCGTAGGTCTTTTTCGTGCGCGCAATCTGCATTTCCTGCGTAATGCAGGTGACTTCTTCTACACGCAGGGAAGACAAATGACTGTGGTTCTGCTCTGCTTTTATCTCGGGACATGATCGACCAATGTGTGACCAGGTGATTGATACACCGGTCTGGGTCAGAGGAGGGGATGTGATTCGCTTTTGAATCCCACATGACGATGGTGTGACTGTGGACTTCACATATCATGTAACTTAGCTTTCATGAAGCGATGACGTGATGAACAACATCGCACATTTGTCAGGCATCTTCAAGGATGTATGAACTCCACGGTAGAGAAGCGTCACTGACCGAACACTGATGTTTTGCTCTCCGTGAGGACGACGATGATGATTTAAACTGCTCAGTGCAACCAAGCATTACAAGAAAGTAGACCAACAAGCCCCAAGTAAAACAGACCATTAAAAATACTTTGCACAACTACCCAGATTCCGGGATTCCAATTTCCGTTCTGTTTCTTTTTTTCAAGATGGAATGGTTCGTAAGTTGCATTTGAATGTGAACGACACTCATCAACTCATGAGCGTCTACGAGTTCAACACAAAATGAAACGAATAACTTTACAAGACTTCAGGTCTAACGACCACTAATTTAGAACCATAATATTTGGACTGTGCATGCGATGTAACTATTCGTCATCGGATAATCAGTTGACCCATGGAAAGATTCTAACTATGCGACTACTCATGAGTAGCTAAACTACATATTTTGCCATCTCACTTGCTGAGGGTTTCAACGATATCCTACTCAGCTTGCTGATCAGGCGGCCAGTGAACTTTCGTTCAATTCTGGAACTTGGCTTGAACACATTTTCGTCGCTGGTTAAAGCAGTATTTTCATCGCTTCCCTTCAAGAAACGCCCATGCTTATACAAATAGTAAAGAGTATCGGTTGTCTCTTGATGCAATTGGCTAAGTCAAGTACAGCCAATAGACGGGTCCTGAACCTGAATTACTCGAGCCATATCTTTGAAGAAAAGTAACAGCAATAATTTAACTATATGAGCAGTGAGGAGGAGACACAAATGTGTCACAAGAGCCGAGCAGATTACAATAGCTTTCTGTTAGAACAACGCATTCCGATAACAGGGCAGTGACGTCCATTTCTCTAGATGAAACTCAGCCAAGGTTCCATGCGAGTCCACGATGCGACAAGCCAGGTTCTGTCAAAATTTACACGTTGAAGCGGTGAAGGCATGGGAGTACCCACCAACATTTCACTAAAAAGCATAACCCACTGCCTTAACACGCTACTCATAAGGTTGCTGAAACCACGTCGATAGCACACGACCGGTTTCGCTCTTCCACTTAGGGCCCATGAGGTAGAGAATGTCCCCAGTTTCCTGGTAGGCTTGAACCGATTCCGACGAATGCTCTCATTTGTGTACGAATGTGGTTTTGACAAAAGATTTAACTGTGGAAGCGGATAATCATAAACGGCAGGTTCAGGAGGATTCAGTTGAGCTTCTTTTCAAGGCCAAGCTGGTATGGAAATGAGAGTACTTGTCAACATGCCACTGAGTTTATCCACCTAGTCAATTAACCATTGGACAACACCCGGGTAATTCATTCTGGTTCCCCAAACCAAAACGAGTCTTTGTCGCTAATCTTTCTGTATCCGGCAGCAGATCATTCTTGGTTAAAGTGCAATTCGCCTCCAATTTGCTTGCGTCTTTTTTGATAGAGGCCTATCGTAAGTCTTAGAGTGTCAGTTTATCCAACCGAATTCTCTGTAAAACGGATAAATCGATTTCTTCAACAGACATAAATCTCAGTAAATAATTCACTCTTGCCGCTTAGTTGACATTGCATAACGATCGCAGCATACTTGTTTAACAAAACTGTTTGGAGGCAGAAATTGGTCGCATTTTGTTCTGAGCTTCTTCATCATGACGGAATACTACTCAGTGGATATTTTGTTCAATGTCTGGAACCTTGTTGAACCAGCAGATTTGTCCGGAAAACGGAAGCCAGGAGTATCGACCCCACACCTCTTTGTGTCACAACCATGGTTTCTAACAAAAATGTCGATCGAATCCACTGAACCCACACGTCCTGTTTGGAGTATTACACAACGTTCACCCGATATCAGCAGTCCTGGATAACACTGAATCGCGAAAGTAGAGAATACTAGTCGAACTAAAGAGAGAAATAGGACAGCTAGCATGCGCTGCGTTACTTGGCTAACTGCGGTAGCCATTTGGGACCAAAATGTCTCCCACGGAGGCGACCAGTGTGAATCGCAACCTTTGCTAAGTTATACTGTCTAACTTAGGTATTTCTCGACCGTTCGGTAACGATTACTCAACTGACGCAGTCTCTCAATAATTGGGTTGATTCATCCATCCGAACAGAGAAAGACCGGCAATGGTTCATGCCTGAGTGACATGCAAAGCGCGTGAATGGGTGGAGTAAGCAAACAGAGCATGCGAAGCTGTCCAAAAGGTGGACTTCTAAGGCCCTGAAATTACTAGACCAATAGATTGGATAAAGATGAGTGGAACAGAACAGAGCATACAGAGGTTGCCCATGAATACTCCCAGGTATGCTCAAAAGCTCTTCTTTCATGGTGCCTATCCGTCTACCTTGGGTTCATTGTGGTCATTTCTACCCCAGCCCCTTCTCAAAGAAAGATAGGCTGAGCAACCTCCTCGAAGTACTCATGCTCAATTTTAAAGCCATGGGTTCACTCACAGACTTTCGAACTTTTGCAACTCAGCAGACCTCCGAAGTGCACCATCTTCCTTCTGTTATGCAACAATGGAAATTGAAAATCGAGCACATCGTACTCCGTTGCTGACTGTCTCAAAGCTAGTGTAAAATCACGTGAATTGCATGAAGATTACATCAGAGTCAGCCTAAACCTCTTCGAACAGTCAAAAGACTATGTGCGAAACACGGGACATTCATGATATCTGACAGATAACGCATTCGCCCTGTCCAAAGCTTCGGGATGCTGATATATTTTTTAATGCTTTTATATTACTTTTATTTTTTGGTAGTATCAAACTATGCTCCCTCGACTCATGCTTGACCCTCCAATCAAACCAATCGGTTATAGCCGGTTTCAGAGGTAAGTAGAACACTTGAATCTTTGTTGATATGATAAGAGGTGTCAGATTTTGCCTCAGAATTAGCATGCAATATTTTTGCCTGTTCAGCATTACAACACGCAAAACGGAAACTCCGTTTAAAACTATCAAGAAGGCATTGGAAATTTCCCATTTACTGCATGTTGGCTACTTCGGATGATGCAAACGATTTCAAACCACATTTCACCTTAGACGGCAAAAATGAATGAATGAATGAATGAATGAGAGAACAATTAACTAATTAACTAATTATTTAGTAAATTAGTTAAATGAGGTGAATGGGTAAACGGAAATAGGAATGAATGCGTGTGGAATCCAGTGAAATGTGACAACACGGTTTCGGCGAAAGCAGTTGGAGCCGGAATGTGCTCAGATCTCTTGCGCTTGGAGAGTTAAACCGCAGCTCAGCACTTACTCATGTGAGTTACGTATAGAAAAATAAAAGACAAGTCGGAAAGTTTCAATAAGTCATTTCATGTGGGCGTGATAAATGTATGGAATGAGAGACAAATAGAAGTCCATCGGACGCCAACAAGTTTTTGTACAAATAGCAACCGAAATAACATGAAATTCTCGGATGCAGAATAGAGGCACAAAGCTTTGCATAGCAATAGGCAAGAAGAGCCAGAGTGAATTCGTTACCTCAGCTTGGAATGTACCGTTGCACAAAGGGATAGAGAATAGATATTTAGCCAGGTAGAAATCTTGAAGATGAACCACTTTTCTCAACAGAAGTGTAAATACTACCAGTAACTTTATTGATCTGAACGTTAGTAAATCATGATTCACCGTCAAACAAGGTCATTACCCTTTGGTCTTGTCTGCTAAAACTTGGTTCTGTTTCCATGATTTCAACTATATTCTTGAGGCTCAAAATGGGCCAATTTGGATCTCACAGGCTCAAGGCTGTTTTCATGCCGCTGAGTAACCTTGTGACACGAAGACCCGGCCGTTAAGAGCAACAGGCACAATGCTAAAGTTTGCCTTTGAGAATAGAGGAA